TAGTTCAATTACAATGTTTTCAAAATAAAATCTAAGTCCTATAGTAGTCCATCTGTCCCTTCACTGAGCCTGGTGCTTATCGTCTTGGTTACCTAAAAAATGAATGTAAGGGTGAGTACTCTACACTACCAAAAAACACACAATAAACGTAGAGTCTCACCTCCAGAACATTTCCAATGCATTAAACAAACACAATCACAAGCAACATTTCACATCCATAAGTATAATTCATAAACTCATGCATATGCACGCCAGCCACATTCACTGCAACACTACGATCACAGATTTAGACCATGAATAGTCGCCAGTTACTCCCGCCTCACTGATACCACGTGGGCAATCACGGATCGCTCAGCAAAGGTAATGGTCAGAGGTCTAGTCAGGAAGAGAGTGTGTGGCCCGTGGTGCACTCGTTCCACAGTCGGTGTCACCACCACTCCCTTTTCCCCAAGGTATTTCTACCGTCCTCATCTCCCATACCCCCAATGTATCGCTGAACCATTCACAGCACATTACATTGGTGCTACATGCCCCATTCACATACATTTCATTCATACATGCAATATTCATGCTTGCGCACGGCACACAGCCCATCCATTTTTATCCACAATATACGGCACACAGCCTTCATCCATTCACAATATCATTAATTCACCAATCAAAGGCATTCCATAACACACAATCACTCACACGGGGGCCTAACTATTCCAGCACACATCACATTGCACACCAATTTCCATCAAACACACGATTCCTACTCTTTATTTAAGCCACATTGCATTATTCATTGAAATACACAAGAATTACAATACATTGAGATAGGGTAGAGTCCCCCCTTACCTCAGGTTGACGTCCCACACACTAAATCCACCAAGAAGTGCTCCTCCTCACAGATTTCGTCCTAAACACATGGAGAAATTCCATGAGAACCCAAGGAAACCACGAAAACATAGAAAAGGGGTGAAAAACTGAAATCCTAACCATTAAAACTCACCTCCAAGCGTTCCCCACACGGATTTAACCTTCAATCTATCTCCCAAACGGCTTTGGAGGCAATTTAATCGATGGAAAAGGGTTTGAGAATGAGTGAATCCAAGGAATTTCAAAGGGAGATTACTCTCCCTGAACCCTAACCCCCTTTAAATCCTTTTCTGGTCGCGATACTTTCGCTACAGCGAGATCCCCTCGCTGCAGCGACACTGCACCCAGAAATGCACCCCAAACTGTCGCTTTCTTGCTACAATGAGAAAGTGACAGTTTCAGTCCTTCTCCCAAGGCCCTCTCGCTGCAGCGAGAACAGCCTAGTAATACGCCCTGCACTTAGGCACTTAACCCATTTCAGCCCAACCAGTCTTGCATACACACATTTATATATATACATATTCACAACATATATCTGAAAATACACACATGAATATATATTTAGATTTATATAAATAACAATAATTAATATTACAAAATTAGGGGCATTACACAGTATCTCGGCCTAAATACATGAAGGGAATTGATGAGAAACCGAAAAGAACCAAGAAAGGATGGAAAACATAAACCTAACCCTCACACTTACCTCCAAATACTCCAAACGTGATTACAACCTTCAATCTAGCTCTCTAACAGCTTTGGAGGCAATTTAAATAGTAAGAATGGGTTAGGAATCGAGAGAATAGAGAGAGGGCTCGAAGGGAGAAGTGGGAAATGACTTTTCCAAACCCTAAACCCTTCAAATACTCTTCTTGTAGTGACACTCTCGCTATAACGAGATATACAACCAGGGGACCTCGCTACAGCAATACCCCCTCTCGCTACAGCGAAAATCTCAGAGGAAATTGCTCTTTAGTTTCTGCAGAACCTCGCTATAGCGAGATTGCACCCAGAAATGCACCCCTCTCTGTTGGTCTCTCTCTGCAACGAGGGACCTCTCGCTACAGCAAAAGTGCAACAGTCTCACGCCTTCACAGTACACACTAAGCCTACTTCTCAATCAATCCTGACCAACCACAAGTCAAACATGTCCAATCTCAGCCCAATATTGATATCCACATACATTCACACACATGTATTCCCACCATCATCGAACACATATTCGAATACACAAACATATGACAATTCATGTATATATATATATATATATATATATATATATATATATATATATATAAAATAAACATTCAAACAATAATTTACGTATTTATATTAATAATCAATAAATTACAAAACTCGAGCATTAGAACTCTCCCCTTCTTTTAGGGAATTTCATCACTGAAATTCAACCAAACATGAAATTTACACAAATAACTCTAGATACAACTCTCTCATTTTACTCTCATTTCCCATATGGCATCTCCCTCGTCACTTTAGCTCTAAATTACCTTCACCAACGAGATTTTCTTGCCCCTCAACAACTTAACATGGTGGTCCGCAATTCTCACCGTGTATATGTCGTAAGTAGGACAAGTCCTCCCTCACTTGAACTGAGTCAAGGTCAATCACGTGAGAAGGATCCGGCACATACTTCTTGAGTTGAGATACATGAAACACTGGATGTAGATTTGAGAGATTCAAAGGTAATGATATCTGGTATGCTGCAAGACCTGTTCTACTCAGCACTTCGAAGGGCCAATGAACTTAGGAGATAACTTTCGAGATTCTAGAGCTCTCCCAAATCTAGGCACAGGTGAAACCTTCAAAAACACATGATCACCCACCTGGAACTCCAAAGGCTTCCTCTTCTTATCATAGTAGCTCTTCTGCCTATCCCGTGCAGCCTTCATCTTCTCTTTGATTATCTTGATTTGCTCTTTCTGTTTCTGGATCATGTCCGATGCACACAGAGTTGCCTCTCCAGTTTCATACCAACATAGAGGAGTTTTGTACTTCTGCCCATACAAGGCCTCAAATGGTGCAATCCCAATGCTAGTATGAAAATTGTTGTTGTATGTGAACTCTACCAACGACAAGCATTCTTCCCAAGTCCCTTGCTGCTCAATCACACAAGCCCTTAGTAGATCCTCCAAGGACTGGATGGTCCTCTCTGTCTGACCGTCGGTCTGTGGATGATATGCCGAACTAAGATTCAACTTAGTACCTAATGCCCTTTGCAGGATCTTCCAAAACCTTAAGGTAAACCTCGAATCTCTGTCGAACACCACACTAGTCAGTACTCCATGGAACCTGACTATCTCCCTCACATACAAGTATGCCAAACGCTCCAATTTATACTTCATATTGATTGGGAGAAAGTGTGCAGCCTTAGTCAACTGGTCCATAATCACCCAAATGGCATCATGGTTGTTCCTAGTCCTTGGCAAACTAGAAAGAAAATCAATGGAAATGTTGTCCCACTTCCACTCAAGGATCTCCAAAGGTTGCAACATCCCAGGTGGACATTTGTGCTCCACCTTTGCCTTCTAGCAGGTCAAACATCTCGACACATATTCAGCTATGTCCCTCTTCATCCTATTCCACCAAAAGCTCTTCCGAAGATTCTGATACATCTTGGTCACACCGGGGTGAAAACTCATTCTGCTCTTATGTGTCTCCTCAAGTACCATCTGTTTCAACTCATCCACTTAAGGAATGCACACTTGATTCTGAAACTTGATCACCCCGTTCTCATCATAATAGAATTCCAAATTCTTTCCCTTATTCTTCTGCCTCATCATATCTTGCAGGAAAGCATCTCCCTGCTGCACATCTCGAACATACACCAAGAAGTCGTTATGAATTGTTGTCGCTCCAAGATACAAACTCCTCAACAGTACCTCGATGGCCAAATTCGTGTCCCGAAACTCCTCAATCAGCTTCATCTCTTTCACCATCATTGCTGCCACATGCAATGATTTTTGGCTCAAAGCGTCGGCCACCACATTTGCCTTGCTAGGGTGGTAAGACAATGTGAAATCATAGTCCTTGAGGAATTCTATCCATCTCCTCTGCCGCATGTTCAGCTCCCTCTAATCAAACAGGTACTTTAAACTCTTGTGGTCACTGAATACTTCAAACCTCTCCCTATAAAGATAGTGCCTTCACACCTTAAGAGCAAAAATCACCGTGGCTAACTCTAAATCAGGCGTCGGATAGTTAACTTCATACGGGCGCAACTACCTCGAGACATAAGCAACCACTCGTTCGTCTTGCATAAGAACACACCCAAGTCCATGCCCAGACACATCGTAATACACATCAAATTTATGTTCTGAGTTGGGCAGAACTAACACAAGTGCTGAGGTCAGCTTTATTTTCAACTCCAGGAAACTAGCTTCACACCTTTTGGTCCATTCAAAATTCCCTACCCTTACGGGTTTGCTTCGTCAAAAGCAAGGCTATCTTAGCCTTCAATGAATTTCCTATAATAGCCCCGTTAGTCCTAGAAAGCTGCAGATTTCTATTACATTCTTTGGCCTCGGCCATCCAGCTACTGCTTCTACCTTTGTAGAAGATTCCATCTTTAGACACCACATGTCCCAAAAATTAAATTTGAGACAACCAAAACTCGCACTTTGAGAATTTGGCGTATAGCTGCCTCTCTCTTCAAAATCTACAAAACAATCCTCAAGTGCTCGGCTCTTTCTGAGTCTTCAAATAAATCAGGATGTCTTCTATGAACACTACCACAAACTTATCTAAAAACTCATGAAAGATTCTGTTCATGTAATCCATGAACACAGCAAGCACATTGGTCACTCCAAACGGCATCGTCCAGTACTCATAGTGACTATACCGCATCCTAAACGCCGTTTTAGGTACATCCTCATCCTTCACCCTGATGTGATGGTACCCTGATTTCAAGTCAATCTTTGAAAATACCGCAGCTCCTCTTAACTGGTCCATCAGATCATCAATCCTCAAAAGTGGGTACTTGTTCTTTATTGTTACCTTGTTCAGCGGCCGATAATCCACACACATCTTCATACTTTCATCTTTCTTTTTCACCAAGAGCACAAGTGCTCCCATGGCAACACACTCAGTCTCACGAACCGCTTCTACAATAAATCCTCCACTTACTTTTTAACCTCTACCAACTTTACCGATGACATCCTATATGGTGCCATAGAAATCGGACTTGCTCCTAGAATGAGGTCAACGGCAAATTCTATCTTCCTCTCACGCGGCAATTCTGAAACGTCTTTGGGAAAGACTTCCAAGAAGTCTCTCACCACCGAAATGTACTCTAGCTCTACTACACTATCAGCCTCTATTGAGAACATGACCATAAAGGCCTTAGCATTTATCGTGTTCTCCCACGCACCTTGGCTCAAAAACCTTGGAACTTCTAACATTGACGCACCAAAAATCAAAGTCTTCTCTTTGCAGTCCAACAGCACATACTTGGCAGCTAGCCAATCCATCCCTAAAATCACGTCCAATTGGGAGAGAGGCAAACAAATCAAGTCTACCTCGAAGTCCCTACCGTGCACCATTATTAAACACCCTAGACACACTCCCTACGTCATAATAAGCTTACCCTTAGGGGTAGTCATCACAACATTGCACGGCAATTCAGTCACAGACAAATTCAGACTCTTCACACAGTCCAGGGATACAAAAGAATACGTAGCACCCGAATCAAACAACACATCCAACAATTGACCCTTAATAATGTACTTACCTATAATCAATTCCTCAGACTATGAAGCCTCTACCCCACTCATAGCAAAGACTCTACCAGGAATGCTCGACTTTGGCCCCGTACTTGGCCTCGTGCTCCCTCTTGATTCAATCCTTTGAGTTTTACTTGAACTGTCACTCCTTTTAACAGTCCGGCACACATTAGCAGTGTGCCCCAACTTCCCACAGTTGTTCGTGGTTGTGGCCAGTCTCTCACTATGTGTGGTTCTCTACACCTGAAGCACTTGATCTACCCTCTGAAAAAGCTTGGTCTTGAACCACTTCCACTGCTCCTCTCTTAGGATGAACACCCTCTAGACTAAGAATTACTGGAGCCCGAAGACAACCCCTTCGAGAATCTAGGGGGTCTTCTAACATGTCTCACTGGACCACTCCCCCTGGTGTCCACAGTCTTGCCCTTCGAGTTAGCTTTAAATATTCTGCACTTGCTCACCAGAGTGAGTAAGTCAGTCAGCTGGAACATGCTAACTGCAGCTCGGATATCTAGCCTCAGCCCATGCTCAAATTAAGCACACATGACTTCTTCTTCATCTTCGTGCTGATAGCGAGGTCAGTAGTTCATCAATTCTTGGAATTTTGCAGCATATTCCCCCACAGTCATACTTCCTTACTTCAGTTCAAGGAACTCATGAGCCTTCTGCTTCTTCAAATATCGGGGAAAGAAGTTTCCCAGGAAACTTGCCTTGAAAGTCTCCCACTGAATATAGCCACCCCCTTGTGGCAAAGTTTGACTGGCAAACCTCCACCAGTCTTCCGCCTTTTCACATAGCATATATGTGGCATAGTTTACCTTGTGTTCTTCCCTACACCCCATAATATGGAAGGTCTTCTTCACATCAGCTAACCACCTCTGGGCTCCTTCGGGATCAAACCCTCCCTAAAACTTGGGAGGATTTTGCCTAGTAAAGGCAGACGACCCTCGATATTCAGTCGACTCTGCATCCTAGTTGAGCACCAAGGCATCCAAAGCTTGGGTCATCCGCTCTAGGAGGTCATTGGTGACTTCAACTCCTCTGCCTCTATCAATCATTTCTAATGTAAGCTAGCAAACAATTTCAACAAACAATATTCCACCATGTTAGATCAATAACAATATTTATATTTCAGGTACACAAAACATATCAACATACATCTTGGACGCTTCAACCTAATACCCCAGTCTGATTTGGATGAACTGTTCTGATACCAAATTGTAACACATTAATTTAAATTTCTAAATAAATTAATTTTCACAATAAGAGGAAATAATAGAATTTCATTTCAAATAGTTTCTAATGCATAGGTCCAGTTAGGTCTTTCAAAATAAGGATGGATTATAATTTATATCAAATCAATGCTACAGGACCAATTAAAATACATCAAAATTTTCAAAATAGATTTTTAAGTCCTATAGTAGTTTCATCCATCCTTTCACTGAACCTGGTGCTGATCGTCTTGATTACCTAAAAAATAAATATAAGGGTGAGTACTCTATGCTATCACACACAAGCACAGAGAGTCATCTCACATGTTTCACTCATTTAGCAACATAATCCCAGAACATGCATCATACAAACACAATATAACACTTTCAACATTCTATTCCAATTCACATACAGGTGTCCTCACTGCACCATCAAACAATTCACACACATGTGCGCTCATTGCACGTAACCATGCCATTGTAGCACTGTGATCACAGATTCCTGATGCCCTCAACCTAAGGGACTTACTCAGTTCACACCATAGATGGTCGCTGAATAACCCCTGCCTCACGGATACAACGTGTGCAGTCACGAGCCCCTTTGCAAGGTGTTAGTCAAAGGCTGAGTCAGGAGGAGAGTATGTGGCCTGTGGTGCACCCACGCTCACTGTTGGTGTCACCACCACCTTCTCTTTCCCAAGGTATTTCTATCGCCCCTTCTTCCACACCCCCAGTGTATCGCTAAACCATTCATAGCTTTCCACATATTCAAACACAGTCACACTCATAATCACAATCGACATGCCATTTCCACACATATTCAGCCATTCCATATTGTTCATCATTACCAAACGGCACATAATTACATTCAATCACCCACATCTCAATCATGTCAAAGTATTCACACTCACACGCGACACGTATGCCCACATTCAATCATACTACACTCAAACATTTCATCACACACACGTCCAATATTCATTCACATTATGTTATACACCAAATTTTCATCAAAATCCAATCACAGCCAAACCATTCTCATCAAATACACATCATCCCACATTTTATTCTAATCACATCACAATACCCAACACAATAAACAAATTCTAAGTAAAACGAGATAGGGTAGAGTCCCTCCTTACCTCAAATCGAAGACCCAATCCAATCTAAAGGTAGAAAATGTCTCACACGCAGTATCTCGGCCTAAATACATGGAGGGAATTCATGAGAAATTGAAAAGAACCAAAAAAGGATGGAAAACATAAACCCTAACCCTCACACTTACCTCCAAATGCTCCAAACATGAGTACAATCTTCAATCTAGCTCTCAAACAGCTTTGGAGGCAATTTAAACGGTAAAAATGGGTTGGGAATCGAGAGAATAGAAAAGGCTCAAAGGGAGAAGTGGTAAATGACTTTCCTAAACCTTAAACCCTTCAAATACCTTTCTGGTCGCGACACTCTCGCTACAGCAAGATATGCAGTGAAGGGACCTCCCTGCAGCGACATCCCATCTCTGTCAAATTCAATTTTAGGTATTATTTAAAAAAATGCAAATAAGGTTTTTTTGGGGGTTTTAAAAATTGTAATTAATCAAATTAAATTACGAACAGAATTAAAGTGAGTAAAAAATGAATTAAGAAATATCAATCCATAGAATACTAATTGCGTGTAACTCTGGCCATCGCAGTATCTAAAGATTTAAATCCACGTTTGAACAATCATCTAATTCAATTATTAATTCAATAGAATAACCTAATTGAATAGAGTTACGAATAAAATCAAATAATCATTTAACCTAAGTATTAGAGCATCAATCGAGTCCTAATTTGAAATCTAACAACAGAAAAGTCAATCACAATCGCAATAAACAATTCTGAGATTAGAGAGAAAAAGAGAACAAACTCGAAGCAAATAACGCAAAACTCAAGTCAAAATTACAGCGATTGGATTCTATGGATTGAACGAGAGGTTTAGCCCTCCATCGCAACGCTTAACCCACACATGAATGAGAAAAGAACGAGAGAGTTCAAGAGAAAGTAAAAACAAGGATTCTTATTTCGGACAAGTCTCAAAACCTCAAAGTGTCTCATCTCCCCAAATTCAGAACCTTATAAGTCTATTTATATGTTCTGATTAGGGTAAATTAAGTGGCTAAAATGCGGGCCTCAATAATATCTAAAAGCCCAAATACAATTATTAAATAACAAGGGTCCAAATGCAATCCCGCAACAATATTCAACAAATCTGCCTCAACTTCAAAAAATCATAAAAAATCGAAAACAACTCCAAATCCAGCGATCTATTTATGCATTTTGAAGCCTTGGATGTGTAGAATCCAATGCAACTAGAATCAGCCAAAAATGATATCTATAGAAAAACTTATGGCTAAAAGAGTAGTCAGAGGTCAAAATAATCAAAAATTTAAAATTAAAGCATTTATTTGTAATAGGCTCAATTTATTCAAATAAGTAGAAAGTGGTAAAAACTATAAAAATAAAGCATATGAAAAGTGTTTATTAATCAAAATAAAACATTAAATGTAAACATAAAATATGTTACATCAATTGCACCCAGAAATCCACCCCTATCTATTGCTCTCTTTTTGCAGCGAGGGACCTCTCGCTAAAGCAAGAGTGCAACAGTTTCACATCCTTCTCCTAGGGCCTTCTCACTACAATGAGACTCCTCTCGCTATAGCGAGAATGCCCCCGCAGTACACACTAAGCCTACTTCTCAATCAATCTTGACCAACCACAAGTCAAACATGTCCAATCTCAGCCCAATATCTATATCCACATACATTTACATACATATATTCCCACCATCATCCAACACATACTTGAATACACAAACATATGGCAATTCATGTATATGTGTGTGTGTGTGTGTGTGTGTATATATATATCAAATACACATTCAAATAATAATTCACATATTTACATTAACAATCAATAAATTACAAAACTCGGGCCGTTAAACCTAAGGTCTCTCTTTTATAAGGTTTGAAAATAGTTAAAGCTCTTTATAAATTGCGCTTCCTGCAAATGAGCACGGCTATGCAAGGCAATAGGCACGACCGTGCATAGGGTTGAAGCACCCCCCATGCTTATTGAAAGGGTTTGGGAGTTCTAACTGCTGCAAAGCTCTGATCTTCTATCAATTTAGGCCCAAAATGCACCCAAAATCCATTTGTAGCCTCATTATACTACACTGGACAATAAACATATAAATCAGTATAAAACTTAAATAAAATAAAGGCCAAACATGAATATCTGGGCAATAAAAGAAGGCCTAAATATACACTTATCATTTAGTGATGGGGGCTTTTGATTAATTGTTAAGTGTTTCATGTGTGTTAAATTGAGCATTTTAGAGCTATCTCGCTCAAGCGAAATAGGATAATATTGCCCCACTTGTCCTCTTACCCAGACGAGAAGGGGTCTCATTCAAGCAAGAAGGGACCTCGCTTAAGCGACATGAGCTCGGTCAAGCAAGGAGTCGCAACAAAAATGGAGAACTGTGTGGACCCATTCTCGCCCAGGCGAGAATGCCTCTTACTCAGTTGAGATGTCACTTGCTTAGACGATAATGTCTCTCGATCAAGTGAGAATAGTAGAAATCTGAGTAATACCACTATCTAGTTTTCTCGCCCAGGCGAGAGTAGAGCTCACCTAAGCGAGAGATGGATAGTGGTGACCCGGGTGTCCGAGTTGGATAGTAGTGTGAGGTTTGTGTCTAGTTTTCCATGTTGTAGTATAGTGGTGAGTATTCATGCCTATCACGTAGGCAACCCGAGTTCAGTCCCCGACAACGGCGCCAATTTGACAGACGATGCCGAGTCACTATCAAAAAAACTAAGTTCTCTACAGATTTTATAGTATAGAGCTAAACCTAGGTCAATTCACATAGACATATTTTCATTTAAATTCAATTTTATGTTTTCTTTTAAAGAATTCAAGTAAACTTTTTGGGGTTTAAAATTTGTAAATTAATTTAATTAAACTATAAATAGAATAAAGTAAAAATAGATGAAAAAATATCAATCCACAGAATATCAAATGCGTGTAACTCTGATTATCACAGTATCTAAAGATTTTAAATCGAGTTTGAATGTTTACCCAATTTAATTATTAATTCAATCGAATAACCTAATTGAACTAGATCATGAATT